AAAACCTGAAACTTATTCATCAGAGGAAGGAAAAAGAAAACACTGCGATGATGTAGGAGACATGGACACAAAGAAAGACTAGGAAGCGCTAATAGGATTCTATGTTGTACTTCGCGTGAACCGATGAAGCCCATACATAAATAATGATAATAATAATAATAATAATAATAATAATAACAATAATGATAATAATAATAATCATCATCATCATCATCTAAGGTGCTCCCCACGAAATGATCGGTTCGATCCGTCTCTGAGCAGACAGCAAGATCAAACTGGTGACCTTGCAAGTGACTTCCTAACATTTACTCACAAAAATTGCAAAAGGTGGTCGAAGTCGCCTATTCGCGCGTTGCCTTGGCGGCGGGGGTCGCAGCCCTGCCTTACGCCCCCCCGGCGCCTCCGGCCGCGCCGCCTCGCGGACGCGCCTTAACCTATGGAAGACTTGAAAACACCGGGAGATTACTGCTTTATTTTAACAGGGCAATTACGCCAGAGAACCTTCTGGACTTCCACAAACGCCCCTGGTGTCTGTGGGGCCAACAATCAGGCACCCGGGGCGCTCGCGGCCACTACGTTGCACGATCTGCGCGCCAGGCTCCGGACCACCCGCTTAAAACCCCGACAGGCGCGGTATTCGTAGTGAGCCACTGCGCGTTCCCGGTAATATGCGGCAGCGTTTCTGCCACTCGCCTGTGATTCGGCTACGGCACGAGCCACTTAATAAAAGGTATTTTACAGCTATTTATGTTTTTATTCGGTGAATAAGAAAGTTAGATTTGTGTCTTCTATGAGTTAAAAGATATTCAGAATCTTTATGACCTGGATGAAATTAGTACTGCTACAACACCAAATACTTTCTCGCATAATTTCCAAATTTGCAATTTTCGAGAATTCAGAGAGATTAATGAAAATGAAGCACGTTACCATTGCCAAACTTGGCAAAAACCTGTTTTTCTGTCCTGACTGCCCCCAAGTACACTATCTTCCTCTCGTGCAAGTAGTCTTCAATCATTCTTATCAGATATTCAGGTACAAATCTTATCAATCAATGCGTCCACAATATCCCTCCATCTTGGAGAGTTAAAGGCATTTCTGATGTCGATGTTGACCAACACGCAAAATCCCTTCTTGCCATCTTTTCCTCTTCTGGCTGCTTCCGCGATTCGCGCTATCTCTAGGACGGCGTCTATTGTCGAGCGCCCTTTCCGGAATCCATCCTGCCTGGGTGAGATATTTGGCCCCTCCGATAGTCATTTCTGCAGTCTTCCCAAGATCAGACCCTCGAGTAACTTGCCCAGAGTATCCAGCAGGCAAAGTGGTCTATATGACGAGGTCTGGTCTATTGGTTTGCTACCCTCCTGAAGTTATATCAGCTTTTGCCTCTTCCATTTTCTAATGAATACTCCTTCTTCAAGACAGCTATTGAAAACGGATAGTAGGCATTCGGAGCATTCTCTTGTCACTACAGTCAACAGCTCATTTGGAATCCCGTCAAGACCGGGTGCTTGCCCGTTTTTGTGCTTTTCATTGCAAACCACATTTCCTCCTTCGTGAAGGATTCAATGTCTCCCGACAATGATTTCTGTCTCTGTCCCCTCCACTTGTCCCTATTAGGGAACAGGTCCCTTATCATTGTATTAATCTATTGTGGGTCGTCAATCCCTGGAATATTGCGGTCTACTCCTACTTTTTTCATTACAATTTTATATACTGTACCCCCATGGATCCTTGTCTACCTCCTCTATGAGCTCTTTCAAGCATCTAGCTTTGCTTTCTTTAATCGCTTTATAAAGCCGTTTACGTGAGATGTTTTACAGTTCTCAGAGTTGAGGATCTGCCCTGTCGCTGGTCGCCAATCTTCTCATCTTGATAAAATTTTGGCGGGGTTTGGCTATCTCCGGTTTCCACCAGTAGACTTGGGTTTTACACCTAGGTCTTCTGCACCTAGGCATTGAATCCTTGCACGCCGAGGTCACGATTTCCATGCTTTCCTTGACGATTTCGTCGAGGGTATCCGGTATTGTTGTTAATCCTAAGGTCTTCAGGAGCTTTGATTCCTCCAGCGACTTTTTTGCGTTGCTTAGGTTTAGCTTCTTGATATTCCATACTGCCCTGCCTTTGATTCTCTCTCTTGTGGGTACTGGCCCCTTCTTGGTTATGATTGAAAAAACAATATATCTACGATCGCTAAGTGACTCCGCCTCTAGCACTTCTCAGTTCTTAATGGTTGCGGCCAGTTTGGTAGAGCTCATTGTTATGTCAATAATGCAAAGACGCCTCACCCCGTTGAAAGGTATGCCTATTTCCAGTATTAAGAATGACCAGGTCGTTTCTGGCGACAAATTCACAAACTATGTTCCCTCTCTTGTCAGTTCTCGTCTCCCCCCCCCATTCCGGGGACTTACTATTAAAAACCCCCGCAATGATCACATTCCCTTTAGCCGATTTCAGGCTTAGTTCAAGTTGGTAGATTTTCTTCGCCATCACCTCCCTGTGATTATTTGGGAAAAGTAACAGCTGTAAATTCTAGTTACATTGACGTCTATCCATACGAAACCAAAATTCGTCCTGTTCAAGGATCTGACTGTGAGTTTCTAATCATGTATAATAATCCCTTATCTCAATGAAGAGTCCTGATACCACGTGGCCATGTTTGTAGTATCATATTGTTTGCTGATTATTGCCATGTCCACTTTCCTTTCTATGGCGACTTGATTTAATAGGTCTTGCGCCTGTTTACTTCTCAGATTAATCCGTAGGAACTGAAGCATTTTTAGCCCTATACAATACTTATCTTGAGTCACCATAAAAGAAAGGCAACCTTTGCTACCAAGGCAGTGATTGTCGTTCCAATTTTTCTCTTTGCAAACGATGCATTGTGTTTTCCCTTTGCAGTTTTTTGCTACGTGCCCGGCTTTGCCGCATTTATAACAAATAAGACTTTTATCGGGGCCTTTTCACGAGGTTGAGATGTGCCCAAAATCAAAGCATTATAACATTTTGCTGTTTTCTGCTTTCTCTCCCTGATCCGGCAGTTAACCCAGAAAATGTTAATATTCTCTAGTTTCACCAGTTCTTGAGCTAGTTTCACTGGCAGCAATAATGTAGCTCTCTGGATGTTAACGCATCCTCCCCGCATTCTACAGGAATCGATTAGTTGCGCAGTCTGTTTTAATACTCCGGGCTACAGCTTCTACAACTTCTTCCTCTCCCACGATCTCATCAATCTTTTATTTCAACAAACCGTTTCGGAACTAAGGTGCTTACGGCCGCGTAGGCTTCCGCGGCCGGAATATATGTTGTCTAAGCTATCCGGGACGAGCCGCGACGAGCCATGACATTGACGTGGCTCGTCCCGGATAGCCTAGACCACATACGGTGTTTACAATGGCTTCCTCCTCCACAGCCTTTATTACTGCCTCGATTAAGGATGGTATGCTACCTGTGTTGCCAAGTACAATGACAAATTCCTTGTTTTGTGCCCTACGAATACTTCGTATTTCTATTCCTTAATATTTGGGGTCCACCGCCGTCTTCATTCTTTAATGATGTTTGCGTATATTGTTGTTCTTCTAATTGTTGTCGTTGTTGTCGTCGTTATTATATTTACTATCATTAGGAACAAGTATTGTAATTTAGATGTAAGATCAATGACAGAAATTGGTTCAGGGTTTTTGTCCAGTTTCTCTTGATCCTTTCAATAGCTCTGAGATGGACAGTAACAGGATTTTTTTTTCTCTCCGCACGTTTTCTTGAGCTATCTTTCCCTAGATATGAAAGGGGCGGGAGGTTAAGTATTTGTTAGCAGTGTATTCAAACTCAAAATTTAATGTCCGCCAAATAAAGTTGATAATTTCTTAAATTCTTATTTTAAACAGGTTCTTTCTACCTTTACTCATAAAAGTGTATAGTTAGAAAAAGGAGGATATCTGAAGCTCAGGAAGACGTGTGGATCTGCGCATATATCTAACTCGTCATACACGTTTGCAATTTTATATGTGACTCGATAAAATTATTATCGCTTTCTATATCATTTCAGTAGTATACATAACTTTTACGGCTCTCACACACCACCAATCTTTATTAATGAGGTCTGGTAAACTTTTGGAAGAGCATTTTGGACAGATGGTGTTGTTATCATTTTTCTCGTTATATCCGATATTTGCTGCATAATTCATATATAATATAAGTTGTTTTTCTTTGCAGGGATAATTCCATAATAATTTTAATAGTGTTGTATATTTTAATATTTACAACAAAAATGATGCATCTGTGTTCTACAGAAGAAAAATAAAATGTTCATAATATAGTTTCTAAATTAGTAAAAATGCAACTGAAAATGGGAAATGGTCGAACATTGTTGCATTCGTGTGTGGATGTGGCACCTCCTGTCATGGATAGAGAAATAGGAGATGTTTGCAAGTAAGGTCATAATGTGAGATACTGAGATAATGAGGATCTTATAATTGATTCTGTTATGTTGGCTAAAGCAATTCACACTTCACTTCTAAGGTGCAAATTTGGTAGTTTCATTGATTATATAGTACAGAATTTCAAACTTCAAAAATGTTGGTGAAGATTGTTAGCAATTCTTTTTAGTAAATAATAATTAAATATCTTGAAATAGTAGCCAAATAAAAATTACCAAAAGAAAAAATACAGGTTTTATTTACATTCTACATAGTGTGTTTAAATAATGTGCATTATGTATGAATGATTTTTCGTTTAGTTGTAATATTTCCACCTGATTTGACCTGTTTTAATTGTTTGTGTATTTTAAACAGAAGTGGAAAATTCAAATCTGGGTATTCTTTTAAAGTCCTGATAAGAGACTAAGAAGGCATTTTCTTATATTTGTGGCAAATCTTTGAAATAGCACTTACAAAAAATCTATAAATTATTTGTAATAAATAATGTTTTAAATACATATTGGTACCTGCAATATTAATAGAAAACTAGGTTTAGTAAAAATAAAACAAAGAAAACAGTTAAAATAAAATCCACTCATCAATACTACTTTATTTAAAATTTCAAGAATTTAGTATGTCTGTCAATGTCACAAAACATGGAAATAATTACATAGTATCATATGTAAAATGATTCAATTTAAATAAAAATTACTTAAACAAATAGATGGGACTACATAGACAAATAGTACAAATATCTCATTGTACACTTCTAATTCCTCAAATAATGCTTCAAAGTGTGTGCATCATATATCCATATACAAAATGCTCAAAATTAAGCTATAATCATTGTCTAATCAATTATCAAGACAATCTACTCTAAATCAAATCAGATTCTTCCAATTTTCTCCAGTAGGCATACCATGCAGCTCAATGAACTCCAAGAGCTGTTGGGGAATCAAATCTTCACATGACATTTTGGATGCCTTTACGGCTCTGGCAGCCAAGCATTTCAAACTGTATGGCAGGTTCATTAGCAATCTCTTTAAGACCGCATCTGGGAATTTTAATAAATATCTCACTGAATGTCATCACCAGAAAAGCAATCGAATAGAGAATACTAACCTTTTTTTGCAAAATTAAAGGGCATTTCACCATATATGTTAACAACATCAATGTGAGCACCTGCATCAAGGAGTGTGGAAATAATTTTACAAGCTGGATAAGTATCTCTGGAATAAAAATGAAAACAAGATGTTGAAGAAAAATCATTACAGGAATATAAAAACATAAATAGTGTTACATGCTACTACACACCGAGAACTTGCAATAACATGCAATGGAGTATTTCTTTTCATATCCATTGCGTTAACATCTGCACCACATTCAACCAAAAGTTTTACAGCTGCTGCACAAGGAAATCTAAAAAGAAACACATTAAACAAACACTTCATTCTCAAAATGTTTTTGCATAACACTTTAATGGTCAAATTACAATAATTATTTTTAATAAATATAAAATGTAATAAGAGAAAAACTGTGGTGAATTCTTAAAGAGGAAAGCTTCCCAATACAAATAATTGAAGAAATTAATAGATGAATATTCAAAGATGCAAATAAGACTTGGCCACCAAAAGACTCAATCCATTCAAACTACAAACGATCTAATACACTGATCATTCCTTTTCAGTTTATATGCCAACAACATGATCAGGAAATGGAGAGCAAAAATCAGTCAAGGAAATTACAATTTTACAAAAAACATAAAATTACAACAATATTGTATGAATACGATCAAGCAATATTGTTGGGAACAGAAACTGACTTGCAGAATGCAGCATATGAATGAAATAAAATAGCTGAAGAATTATGATATCAAAGCTACATCAGTCAGTACCAAAAGAATATGCTCCGCCCCCTTTCTCTCAGGAGGACTTCATAAACCATACCAGAAGGGAAGTTAGAACTAACGTCCCCGCATGAGTGACATAGAAGACATGAGGCACTCATAGCGACACAGAAGGCAGTACATCTAGGATGAGCAACCTGAATAAATTGCTCTGCAACTCTGGAGCCAAATCATCAATCTTACCACGCATGGTGCTTGTAAAGCAATGAGGGGAAATCTAAATGATTGATAATCTTTGAGAGAAAAGCCGGATAGAAAACATTAAAATGACCATTGCAATATGGTTAAACAAAAATCTAAAATCAAACGATTGAAGATGGCCACCTGGAATATGAATGGCTTGTCTCAGAGAGAGGGACAATTAATTATATAACTTAACAGGTTTAATACAGGCATATGAATTATAAACAAAATCAAAAAGAAACTGAAAGACTCGGCTGATTTTGGAAATTATTTATTATTTTATAGTGGGATCCAACAAAATAAAAGAGGAGCTGCTGGTGTAGCATTTATGTTAAAACAAATCTTAAAAAATAAAAATCATATCAACAACTTTTTATCTGAAAGAATAAGAAACAAAAGTTTAAAAATCACTAGAGGTCATCTGACAATATTAAAGACATATGTGCTCCTAAATAGGAAGAAGTGGAAGAAACAATAACTTTTTGATACATTGCGGAAACATTTGAATTCTGTGAACAAGAGTGACTACTTATCATAGAAAAAGATTTTAATGCAAGAATTGGGAACCAGCCCATAGAAAGAACAATAGGATGTAATGGAGAAAGGACCCTAAATGGAAGCAGTAAATCATCCTTGCAATATACAATGAATTAAAAATCACTAACAGCTTTTTCAAACACTAATATATGTGGGCATCCCAAGGCACAAAATCGATACTTGATTATATTTTAGAAAATTTTAAATTAGCTCCGCTTGTAACCAATATCCAAGTCTACAGAAGCTTTGACATATTCTCAGATCACTTCATGGAAGCGGCACATATAAATATTCCTGCCAAATGGATTAAAATATATACAAATCATAATAGCATAAAAAAACCATTTATTACAAAATCTTTTTTGTACATGATAGTATTAGAAGATTATGCTGCAAACATTTACTGGACTACTTGGATCATAGAGCAATTAGCTTAAATGTAAATGAAGAATGGGAAGACTTAAAAGCAGTGAAACAAAGGCTGCTAGTGAAGTATAAGGTAAAGTTATCCACACATATAAATAAGAGATCTCCAGGGAGAGATAACTAAACATAGAATTATTAAAATATGCACCTCAAGATATTAAAATAAGGTTCTTGACTATACTAAATGCCTATTGTTATACCTACAAAACCCCAAATAAACAGAAGGCAATACGCCTCCCAAAATTCAAGCAAGGAAATGTGAGTAACTGTAAAAATGTTGAAGAAATTAGTCTCCTAAATACTGCATACAAGATTTACGTTAAAATCATTATAAGAAGGCTAAGTAAAATAAGTAACAGGCTTTTGTCAGAAACACAAAATGGATTCAGAAAAGGATGTTCATGCTCAGATTGTACATTTGCTCCACAACAACTAATTGAAAAAAGGCCTGAATACATCGTTTTCACAGAATTTGAAAAAGCTTTCAATAGAGTCTTCAGGAGCAAATTATGATATGTCATGAGGTACATACCATAACAGAAAATTAACCTAGAAATAAAAAAGCTGTCAAATTGTGTAAATTGAGTGCTTTTTTATTTCTGTGTTAATTTTTCTTTCTGAACAAATATATTTATTTCTTTTGTAAATAATAAACAATTAGCATGTTTCTGGAGTGTTTCTATGCTACTGCAATGCAAATTTTTGCCTAAAAAGCATTTTTTGAAACCAACTTTTGTGTGCTTGTAGCGGCTTAGCCATTCGGAATATCGATGTAGTTTATAAGAAAAAATATGCTTAAAATTGTCTTAATAACTTATTTTAGAAGTTTCAAGATTTCCTCCCAAGCATGCCATGCCATAAAAGAGTGGAAAGAAAATATAACACCATTTTCAAGAGAACTTTTAAATACAATTTTATTTGCAGATGACCGGATAATTTTTAGCACCTTGGACGATAATCTCCAAGCAGCTGCCCATCAACTTCTGAGAATAGGATGAAGCTATAATCTACATGTTTCACCAAAAAAATTGAAAGCCATAGCATTCTAAGGGAAACCTCATCTAAGATGTTTTCCTTAGAATGCTATGGCTTGGTATAATGAAATGTGGTGTTGAAGTGTGTACAGTGTACAGTGATAAAATAAAAGTAATGGTGTTGAATAAGTGAATAACTTCAACTATCTGGGCTGCAATATGTCTCACTGTCATAAAAATGAAATTATAATAACAATATAGAAATTTCAGAAAATGTGGGAATCTATGTGAAAGTCTCTCAAAAAGAAACCACATACAGGCACCCATCTGAAACTTTATGAAACAATGGCAAACAAAATTATGGCTAGGGAAATTGGGCCCTCAAAAAGCAGATATATGGAAACTACAGGCAATGGAAATGAGATTTCTTAGACCTTTAGCAGACTCTTCAATACTAGGCCATAAAAAAAACTCAGACATCAGAGATGAATTGAAGATATTCATCCAAACCCCAAAAAGAGATGTGCTAAGAAAAAATTGGCATGATCAGTTAATGAGAATGCCAGAAGATCAAATGCTAAAAATCCTCTACAACTGCAAACTGAATGAAAAGTAGGGGCAGACCAATAAGGCGGTGGAAGGACACTCTTGAAGACAAAATGGGCCAATAGGCTCAATCCATAATGATGATGATGACAATGAAGTATCATGCCAAAAAACCAAGGCATGGCCTTATGAGACAAACAATTAGAAAGAGTAAATATATGGGATAAATGGGATATTATCTGGCTATATAAAGATATCTGTGAAACATAATTGTTCAAGATCAAAAAATCTTGGAAAACAAAATCCAAAAGTTCAACAGAATAATTGTGAAAAACAATTATTTGGAATGCATATGAACACAAGATATAAAGAAATCAGCACATAGGCACAGATATAAAGAAATCAGCAAAGATCAAAGAGAATACTCAGAATAACAGTATTGCAAGCATTCTTGTATAGATCAGAAACTTGGACTACGAGTGAGATCTACAAAGATTAGAAGCAGATCAGAGTAAGATTCTGTGACATCCTGCCAGAGTAAGAAAACTAGACAGATAGGCACAGATATAAAGAAATCAGCAAAGATCAAAGGAGAAGAACACATGTGAATAAGAAATTCCAAAGAAAATGGTTTAAACACTTAACATGAATGGAAGATAAAAAGACTAACAAAGCTAGCACTGAATACTAACTTGGAGGGAAGAGAGCTACAAAGATCAAAGAAGTGATAGAGACAACAAGACTAACCACTAGACCTATTGCACAGGGAACAGGACATGCCTAAACACCCTTACTAGTTCATAAGGGTGATAAATCTATGTGAAATCCAAATTAGATCAAAATTAAGCTGTTGTTTCACTTAAATAAATTTAAACTATAAGTGGGTGAAGTGGGTCCTCAAATAAAGACAGTAGCCAAATATTCCATGTTGACTTACAAATATAATTTTGTTACATGTATTTAGTGGAAGCTCACTTGCAAAGAATCTTTACCTAATTCATTATTATAACCAGTCAAGATTCAGTGTATACTTGACATCAAGAATATATATACACAGCCTACTTGGGATTAAACACAGGTTGGCAATGGTTCAGATACTATGGAGATGGTGAAGGTACCAAGAAGAACAAAAATCAATAACCAGAAGAGAGGTAGACAACTTGGAGTACAGATGAAAGTTTGATATCTTGAACTACAGACGAAAGTTATGTGTGTTGGAGAAGAGAAGAAAAGTAGATGTGTCAGAGTACATGTACGTTTGACATCTTGAATTATAGACAAATCTTTAAGTGCAGACACAATGTGGACGTGTTGAAAGGTCTTTTGGAATTGAATTCTTTAATTACAAATTGTTGTGTAAAATTTCTGTTGTTGTAAATAAATGTCTCTTTTTTATTTTGAAATTAGAAGCATTTAAATTTAATAAATCAGTAGGTTGCCATATTTCAAATTTACAGTGTATGCTGTAGAATTATCGGCCACTAAAAATAAAATAAATAGATATTTTTATATTTCTTTCTATGAATTTAATTCATTAAATGGAAAAATAAGAACCACCACACTATAGACTAAAGCATTTTACTACACGAAATTCAATATTATGTTTAGAGTTATCTTGAAACAAATTGCAGTTAATTTCTTTCTTACGCTGCATCATGGTTTACCATGTGTTATGGTCTGTTTTTTGTATATTCACTCACACAGAAAAAATTATGCAAATATGTCAAGTGTTACATGAATGTCAGTGGATACAATATGAACATTGAGAATGTCTACGATGAATATTGACAGTCTTTCAAAACAAATAAAATTGTGGATTTAACATTTTTCTATAAGTCCTACAACAGACAAACTGATTGTCTAGAAATATTAGAATTTGAATTTATTTGCTCAAACACAGGTTTCAGATCCTACAGACTGTTGAACTCTGTGAAGCTGTGACATTGTCAAAAACTGTGTGTGCCAAGGACCAAAAACCAGAATTGTGAACCTGATAAATGAATACTACTCCAATATCAATATTTTTGACAAAAATAAAAATTATACTTAATAAACTTATTATACTCAAAAAAATAGTATATAGAGTTCATTGAGAGTGTAATTCAATGTTTACTCAATATAAATATTATAACACATTAAATTGTTATTCTAAATGTATAAAGTCTCATGTATACAAATATACGATCACTGACACCCGGTGACGTAATGGCAGCGTGGCAAAATAGCCCGGATGTGCCATTTACTCCACGGCTTTAAAAGGCGCTGCCCACTGCGATAAGGTCTAGTCGGGACTTGGGTATGCCACGGCGATGCACTCGTTCGTCCCTTAAGCAATTTGACCAGTTTGAGCGGGCTCGGATTGTCGGCCTGCGCAAAGCAGTCGATCCTTTTGGCGCATTGCTGACCACGAAGTGGGTCGTGATACGTTGTCGGTGCTGTAGTGCTGGCAATGATGGATTGACGAGCATTCCCATACATTGCCATATACGTTCCCATGCCTAGCCGTACACCCACTTCGGGGCGACCGCGAGGCACTGACGAACATCAAGATCGACGCATCATGATGGCGGCGTTGGCAGACAGTACGACCACCCGCCGTAAGATACAGGCATATGTGGCCACAACGTGACTCCACGCACCGTTGGGAACCGGTTACTTGCTGCAGGATGACAATCACGCATACCGCTAGCCTGACTGCCACTCACGCCGAACCATCGCCGGGCACGTCTGACGTGGTGTAATGTGCGGGTCAGCTGGGAGGCGGAATGGCGTGCATTGATGTTCAGTGAAGAGAACCGCCAGCACTACCTGCACATCAGTGATGGTCTTGTGCTTGAGCGTCCTCTCAATGTAGAGTGCGTGCGTCCGGAGTGTGTTTGGCTTATTATTATATATATTTATCTACATAATGGGACAATTTAACTCACGTTAATGTAAGCTGCCATTTGCCACAGCAGTTCTATTTGTTTCCTGATTTGTTAATTTAGATAATAATTTTATTTCGCTTTGCTTGTTAATTTGTCACTGCAAATTTTCAAAATGGTAATTAAGTATAACTTAGTTTTCATATTAACCAGTTGCCAACTAACATATCTTTTTATTTATTTACAATTTATTTGTTATTCTAGATAATTGGATGACGGATTTCTTTCTGCCTGTTGCGTTTCCTTGGAAAAAATCAAAATTCCAATAAAAACAATTCACGTCAAACAGTACTGATGATGAGTGAACTATAATCAACAACGGTAATACAAAAAAGAAAAAACAGAACAAAACAAGCGTACAATGTAACACACCCCTTTCTGACAAGTACATAAAGTACTTAGAGAGGGTTTGAAGTGTACTGAATAAGATAAAATAAATGTAATAAATATATTTATATTTAAAATTTAAACCCGATAAGACCAGAATTTATACCGAAAGGTTAAACAGGATGTATAATGTATGTAAAGTTGTCAAACAAAATTGGTATTCTTTCTTATTGTTTTTTGTGATGGTTTTTGTACACTGTCAATGTAATTCTTTTGGAAATAAATTATTATTATTATTATTATTATTATTATTATTATTATTATTATTATTATTATTATTATGATCATCATCATCATCATAGGCCAGCGCTGGATACATCCAGCACGTTGTGCGGCCTGTGCTGACACCTTTCTTGCGACGGGAGGGTGGTGCGCTGTTCCTGCAGGCCAATGCCCGCCCTCAAACTGCCCGCGCTACGCACCACACTCTCCGCGATGTTCGTCAGCTGCCCTGGCCTGCACGTTCGCCGGATTTGTCCCCGATCGAGCATGTTTTTAATTTTGTGTGCATGTGCCCCAGCAACCTGCAGGCTGTGGGTCTGTGCAGTGGCCCTGAGGATTGCACCTCTCGCAGCTGCCCCCCTGGTCAGACCCTAGCTACAACTCTGTATATACTAAACGTGTGGTGATATATATTTCCATATGCACCAACACATATTTTCTCTGTAGAGGAGTTGGATTTCCGTAAGTGAATTCACACCCAGACTGATATGCCATTTCCAAATTTAAAAAATAGCCTTTCTTATCAAATTAAAAATAATATGTCTTCCTTTTCCTTCCTAAGCAAGGAACAGCTAAGGGCACAATGAGCTAAATTGAACTTGTGTCTTGAAACATAAAATGTATCAGTTCTATTATGAAATATGATACTTGTAAAAACTAAGTACAAAATTGTCAAAATAATATTTTAGTGGATCTTCAATTACCACATGGAAATAGATTTTTAACAACACCAGTCTCTAAGTTAAATTTATCCATTGATTACAATCGATAGATTTTCATTTTTTGAAATTTAAAAAATATAAATGTACAAAAAGAATTTAATAGTCCTCCACACAACAAAAAATAAAACTTAAATACTATTCCTTGAAAACTTTAATATGTAACTTATCTTTAAATGAGGACTCTGATATCTCACACAATGACCTTACTTGCAAACATCTTCTATGTCTCTATCCATGACAGGAGGTGCCACATCCACACACGAATGCAATAATGTTCGACCATTTCCCATTTTCAGTTGCATTTTTACTAATTTAGACACCATATTATGAACATTTGATTTTTCTTCTGGGGAACATAGATACATCATTTTTGTTGTAATTATTAAAATATACAACACTGTATTATAATTATTATGAAATTCCCCCTGCAAAGAAAAACAACTTATATTATATTTTAATTACACAGCATATATCAGATATGTATATAACAAAAAAAAAATGACAATAACACCATTTGTCCAAAATGCTCTTCCAAGAGTTTATCTGTATTTGCCTCATTACTTCTTTCCAATTCTTGAATACAAGCTTCCAGCACCTCTGCAATATGTGAGAATCTCACATTCATTCTTGAATTTAACATTTTGCAGAATACCTAGAAAGTAAAATTCTCTTGTTTTTATATATACCAAATGTTTACTTTGCTCTTGGTTACAGTATTATCTCTTATATCATTCTACTTTGGAACAAAGCTGCAAGTATAACATGAGGCCTTATTATTCAAAATAGAATATTAAGATGAATTTTTAATCTAAAGTGCAGGGACACTTTAGGGAATAAATTTAAATTTAATAATTTTGATTTGTAAAGCTGCTTTTATTGTATTTATTTCACTTAACTTTATTTGTAATGAACAATTTTGAACCAATAATGTTCATGCAGTAGTATATTTGTTGCATATAGGTAATTTTATTATTAGTTTTATCACTTGTTTTATGTTATAGATAGATTAAGAATTTATTCACTTTATTTATTTAACATCAAAAAACAGATAAAACTATGTAATATAGGGGAAAGTGCAATCTGAGCACATTTTTTTGAGCTCTGTCCCCCAACTCATATACATATTAAGTTGAATTATGAATACCCTTTAGCAACAACCATTTTTGGTAAGAATTGGTATGAAAATATTTGTTCCTATGCAATAAATCAGAGTCCCCCTGAACCAAGACAGCTAGGCTACTAGAACATGGGAGTGTAGTCTGTGATGGGGCTGCCCTTATTAAAAACCACAAATTCTTGATGATAGTCTAGTGACATGGTGAGTTAGCACTGCCACAAAAATGCTGCCTCTGCAGCCTTACAGATAGAGATTCGCCCAAAGACTAGGGGAAGGAAAACCCTGACAGAAAATCATGGGTACAGAGAGCTCTGTAAGGCAAGGTGAAGCCAATCACTTTAGGGGAGTAAACGCAACAAAAATCCCAGTCCCTCATGTTAGGGGTTGGACAATGGGTTAACAACCCTTCTCCAGAAAAAAATCAAAAGTTCAGAAACTCAAAGAAAATGCTGGACCATTTTCTGAAGACAATATATAAACAAAAAAAGGATATGATTCTGGGAATTTGAAATGTGAGGATCCTGTTTAAACTAGGTGCATTGGCAAACTTAAAAGAAGAAGTAGCTAAATATACATCCATACATTTGCTTTACAAGAAATGAGATGGACAGGGCAATAAATGCTGGACTCATGCAATTATACAGTATGTTATAGTGGTCATGAAAGATTGGCAAAATTTGGTACAAGAGTTTTAATCCACAAAAGTGTAAAACATCCCTTCCCTCAATTTAATCCAGTAAATTACAGATTGTGCTCCATTAGAATCAAAGGAAGATTATTAACATAACAATTAATATATGTGCACACACGTACAGAAGATAAGGAAGAGATGGAAAAAAATAATTTCTATTGTCAATTACATAATTTGTATTACTTAAAAAGTCTAAAACTTGACACTAAACTCATTATGGGGATTTTAATGCAAAAATAGGTAAAGACTAATTTGTAGGACAGAATACACTCATAGCATTACTACTGGATACAGATATAATCTAATTGCCTTTGCATCAACTAAGAAAATGGTTATAAACTGTATAACCTTCCGTCACAAGATGGTACATCTAAAAACATGGAGATCTCCAGATGGGGTAGCATGTAATCAGATAGGTCATGAATTAATTGATAGTAGGTACACCAGTAATCTCACGGATATGAGACCACATAGAGGTGCTCATTCTAATAGTTACCACTACTTGGTGTAGGGGAGGTTACAACAGCAAATCTCATCAGTGGTGGAACCAAAGGGCAAAGGATTAAAAGATTTGATGTTGAAGAATTTTTTTTAATGGAATTATAGTAAGGGATTATAGATTAAACATAGAAGAGACACTGAAGAAATTGCCAGAATATCAGGAAGAGGGTAGTGTAGAAAGAATATAGGGAGGTACTAAAAACTCCATGATTGACATATCTCAAAATCTATTGGAAAAGCGGAAACGAAATAAAAGAGACAACTGATTTGATGAAGAATGTAATATAGCTTTGGATAATAGGAATAAAGCACAGCAAAAATACTATAAAGAGAGATCATAATCCTTATAATAATTATAATAAATAATAATTATAAAGAACCAAGAAAACATCAAAAATATTATAAAAAGGAGAAATCAATTTTATGAAGAACAAAAACTTGAAGAATTGCAGAATATGTTTAGAAACAATTATAGCCAAAAGTTCTATAAAGGACTAAGAAATATAAAAGAGGGTTTCTGCCCATGAATAAAGATTTGTAGAAATAACAATAGAGAAGTAGTAGGTGGAGTGGAAGATGTATTAAACACATAGAAAAACTATTTTGAAGTATGATTGAACCCCCGGTAAGAAAGTCTTCCTAAACAGAATGATGTGATTTATTATGGACTTAAGCAATCCCAACATTTCAAGAAATAATAAAAGCAAAAAGAAATATGAAGGGACATCAAGCACCAGGAGATGATATGATTATGGCAAAGTTGATTAAATATGAAGGCAGGCAGCTGTGGAAAAACATTAATTATCTGTGCCAAAGAAATTTGGAAGAAGAAAAGAATACAGAGGTGTGGAGCACTGCAATAATTTGTCCTAGTTACAAGAATAGTGATAAAGTAAACAGTATGAATTCTCATGGAATATCTCTTCTCAATATAACATAAATTATTTACAACTGTATAATCATGGCAATTGGAATCATATGTGGAAGAATGCTTTGGAGATTATCAGTGCGGATTTAAAAAAAATACGTCAACTACTTATCAAATCTACACACTTAGAACAATTTTAGAGAAAACACGGGAAAATAATATTTAAATACATAAGTTATCCCAAGTCCCAAGTACATTCCAAAGCCTAGCCAAAATGACTTTAAAAACACAACAAAGTTAAATTACAAACCGTTATCAGAAAATTTTGAAACTATGGCTGGTCTCCATTAAGATGATATACTTACCACACAGCTATTTAATATATGCTTGGAAAAAGTAATCAGAGCTGTCAAAATAAACCCAAGAGGAACTATATTTATTAGAACTGTTCAACTTTTAGTATGCAGAGGATGTTGGCATCTTAAGCAGAAAACAGAAATGCCTCACAGAAAGTGTAGAAGAATTAACAACAGCTGCCAATGTAATCAGTCTCAAAAATAACAGTAATAAAAGTAAGTACATGATTAATATAAAAAATAATTAACCATCCTCAAACTGTCAAAGAGGTAAAGAAAAATATGAAAGACTAGAAGTATTCAAATATTTTGGAGAATTAAGAAAGAATTATTCATTTATTTTGGCAATTTAAGAAAGAAGTATACATAGATATCTTAAGGTCCACTTATATAATACAATAATAAGACCAAATGTTGTATGAGCTGGCTGAGAGTTGGAAATTAAAAAATAGACTTGAATGCACATTGATGTCTTGGGAAACAAAAATCAATAAGATGTATTTTTGGTCCCATGTATGACAATTAGCATTGGTAGATAAAGAGTAATTTAGAAAGAGACAATATGTATAAATCAACAAAAACTGTTGCAGAAATTAAGGTTAGAATATTACATGTCTTGGAGATCTATTACGAATGGAAGAAGAATGAATTCCAAAAATTATTTCAATAAAGAACCTGAAGGAAGAAGAAAGAAAGAATAAGTTTAAGATGGCTAGATGACGTTAAGATGGTTTTAAGGCCAATGGGAGTGAGGAGTGGAGAAGAAAAGCAAAAGATAGAAGTGAATGGGCAATGATCATTTGAGAAGCGAAGGTGTAACTTAAAGGTCTATAATGTGACACAAGGAGGAGGAGGAAGAGGAGAAGAAGAAAAAAGGAGGAGGAGAAGGAGATGGAGGAGAAGAAGAAGGACAAGGAGGAAGAGGAGGAGGAGGAGGAGGAGAAGAAGGAGGAGGAGGAGAATAAAAAGAAAAATAGAATGAGGAGGAGAAAAAGGAACAGAAAAATGAAGAGGTGAATGAAATGAATGAAGAATGAAATGGAGAGGTGGAGAAGAAAAGGAGGGGGAGAAGGATTCTTCACTGAGCTCAAGGAAACATGGACTGATAGTGAAGCTACATTTATGTAATTAAACAATATTATTATGCCTCATAAGCAATGTTATTAATTGATCATTTAAGTAGTAAACATAGTAGATGTTCGGCCAAGGCCTAAACTGCACAGAAGCACCATTGGAAAATAAATAAAAGAATAATATTATTGGTATCTTGTGGGGCTTCAAGCTATAAGCTGTTCTGAATTCAACTAGGAAAGGATTCCTTCCGGGTCTTTTACAATCATGCCTCCATGAAGTAGAACATCCAAACACCAAGGTGGACATTCATTGAAACAAACAGTAACTCAAATAATACAATCATAAGTATACACTAGTTAAGAATACACATAGAAATAACACAAAAACTACTTAGAAATGACTGTATAGTTATCACTATCTGAAGAAATGCTGAAACTGTTCCATTGACAAAAGTGTTTTAACACTATTATATGCTATTATCATCAGCAATTGTATTTGGTAAATTAGGAAACAAACCTCAGCAAACTGAATCAGATTCTTTGAAACTGTCTCTTTCTTTTGTCGACGTATACGTAATGCATGGAGCCACAACTCTATACATGTGTCAAATCGTCCTTCTGTTGCCAGTACAGATCCTTGAAATTCCACAGAATCAACTACCTCAGGATTTTTAACACCAAGTACACGTTCTTTAATTGCCATAGATTCCATATGGAGAGAATTGACATTATATTGTATGCTTTGAAGCTCTTCTAATGTTTGTGTCTCAATCCAATACTCATAGGCAGCTATAGGATTTTGTAGTTTCTTGAGGACTGGATTTTCTGTATCACTGTACCTGCAATAGAAAAATAAATCAAGGAAATTTAGGCACACAAAATTTTTGTTTTAATTAAGAGCACACCATAAAAAATGTTTTTTAAGTCCATACCTCAATTCCATGGCCCGCTTCAAATAACTGTAAGCCAAACCTAAATTGTAATAGTACAAATCACTAGCAAAACAAGCTCCAAGAAGCTCAAGAGCTTCAATTTTTTCCTCCTTGGAGAATTCCTCACGTGTTACCAGATACTCCAAGACATGTGCTTGAGTACCATTTGCAGTAGCAATCAAGGGACTCAACCCTAACAAAAATGTACATGATGGATATTGACTAGATATTTACAAGATTCAAAAGCACCAGTAACATACCCCTAAGTAACATACCCATATCATTTTTTGATGATACTGCACCATTTTCAAGTAATACAATTATATTACCGACATCACCACATTCTGCAGCAATATGCAAAGGAGTCGTACCACAGTGCAGCTTCTCATTGGGATTGGCCCCATTTTCCAAGAGAAATTTAGCTACACTTAAGTGACCACCATATGAGGCAATGATCAAGCATGTATTGTTGTGAAAGTCTCCAACATGAATACTTGCTCCATTGCTGATGAGGTAAGCAACAGTATCCAATCGCCCATTGTAACAAGCAGCATGTATAGGAAAGGAGTTCTTTTTGGTTGGATGATTTATATCTGCACCAGCCTCCACTAACATCCTCACTATTTCAAAATGGCCCCCTCCTGCAAGACAATTATTTATCAACATAACATTCCTTATATAACCCTGATTTGCATTTTACAAAGCTTGAATCCCCTTTTTCCTGGTCTTTCAAGGAAAGAGAGAGCAATATCCTTGAGTTAAAATATCATCAGAGATCCCTAAGGGCATGTTTTTTTATTGGTTCTTCATTAGTCCAAAAACCTTCCGTATGTATATTCATGCTTCCATATTAATGTTTTAAATGGCCTTCCACTGGAGACAACTTTGACTTTAAACTAGGCATACATTAGATTTTACCCTAAAGTTTATATTTTGATATTGATATTTTATGCATGTACTACAAAAATCAATTTTCCTAAAACAAAAAAAAATTAAAATTGTTGAAAATCAATGGATTTAGGAATACCATTGAAATATTTGTAGTATAGTATCTCTGAATCTAATGAGGTATGTATATACAAATACTACGGATATTTCAAAAAATTTTATAAAAGGGCTGGACACTGATATGTCAGTTTTGAAAAATCCCAAAGGGATTGGACAAAAGAAAAATATATACTATTACAGTTTATTTTATAAAATTGTTCTATACAATCTGAAATTACGTAAGTTAAATTTAGACCTAATTCAAATTCCACAAGGGTCATTCCATGTAAAATCGCCCGCAAAAATCATGACCCCTTCCGATTGATGTAAAAATTTTTTGATTGGTTCAATGTGATGTTCAAC